TGCAGGAGATGAATCATCTTCTACTCTCTGCATTTAGAAGACAATCTTATAATATCTTATTAAGATAAATATTATATTGTTGTCGCTGATAAAATCATGCATTTTTACTGAAGCTACTTGATTAATTAAGTGTCCAGATCTACAGTCTAACGACAAATCCAACCACCATAGTTCATTTTTAGGGTTTATCTTAATGCTAAACCAACCCCAAATATAAACCACAAACTCAATATATGTTAGTTTCACTCGATAAATCCATGTTTAAAACTAGACTAATTCAAGATCATGATAAACTCGTTTTATTAAAACATAAATATCAAATTTTGACTAATTTTTGTTGATCACTAAACTTCCATCTTCTAATTCAATATTATAAGTTTGTAGGGTGATGTAGAATAAATGGCCAAATAGATTAAAGAGGGAATGGACTGATGAAAGACAAAGAGACAGCGGAAATTTGCAAATTTGGGGTCCGAGTTTCGAATTGAAGCCATGATACCTTTTTGGAAAAGGGAACAATATCGTGGTTCCAATTGCTGTGATATATGATGGATTTTAACCATTTGAGGCCGTTTAGGCTTCCAAAACAACATTTTAATTTCTGAAATAATAAGCAGATCTTTCGATTTCCGTCCGATTAATGTTGTTTTAATTATCAAAGTCCTTTGAGTTGTTCCTACCGTTGTAACCTTTTATTTATGTCATAGGATGCTTCAATTGTAATTATTCAAGAATTAATCAAATACAAACCCTTTAGGTTTTCTCTCAGAACCTAATGGACTCCAGATCTAATTCTTCAAGAGCTTACATTGGTAACCCTTTTGTTTACTTAGTGTTGCGTCATAGGGTCTTGTTTTATGATTTTAAATGACTCTAATCAATTAGTTGAAAATTGGGGCTTATTCTTTTCCCGATTCTTACTTATGCTAAGCACAAAATTAGTATATATAATATCTTTTATTCAAAAAAGCACAAAATTATGAAATAAACAAAGGAGAAAAATACAACTTGATATATTATTTTCTTTCTAATTTTGGAGGTGGATAAGTACCTACTTAATGTGATTCATGTGATAGATTAATTAAGAAAAGGTGGTACACTTTATACGTTAAAAAACATAGATTTAGTAGATCAAAATCTATTAAAATAAGACTATTAGTTCAATAACTTAATTCCTAATCATCTTTTGATATTGTTGGTCAACTTAGTTACTATTCCAAATAAATGGCCAACAACTCCACCAAACTAATATTGGTCAAGAAATCTATGAGAGGTTAAAACGCAATCTCCACCTAACCTAAAGAAAATGATGTTATTTTTTCAACAACCCGTAATTCACTTGAGAATGTGGTCACATTTTCTCATTGATAATTTGATAGGGAAGAAAATTGAAATGAGTCCAAAGGAACCAAAGGCCCCAAGTGTTAAAAAGATGTCTCCTCCCTCCACAAAAATTCATACCTGAATTGATGCGTTCTGTATATCTTTAAATTCCCATTGCCGACAAACCCTAATTTTTTTCCTCATATCAATCATATCAACCAACCCTTTTTGCCATCCATGAAGATTAAGGAAAAAGGTTTAATCTTGATGACTGCCACTCACAAGCCAACCATTGGATAACTAATTAAGGGACCGTCACAAGTGAGTAGTTTTCAGTGTGTTCATAACATGATCACACAACGTTATTATTTCAAGTTATAACACCTAAATTCGTTTTTTTATAAATATATTCTGAATGCGGAACAAATAAACTATATTATGAGAAATTTTATTTGAACCTACGTAACATCTTTTTACACCTAGTTTAAATTTAAATTGTTAATTGTCTATTTTATCCTATTGCATAATTAATATTAAGTACAAAATGAAATTAATAATAAAACTCAAATTTATCAATAAACCCATTAAAACCCTACCATCACTTCTTGTTTATCCTACGTTCATTCTGACTAAAACCCTAATAGGTCTTGTAGAGAAAAACAAGTTTTTTTTTATTGATGGATGGTGATTTTGAAGTTTTGAATCCTCCAACTAAGGTATGACTCAATTTATGAATATTTTGTTCGTTTGATTTCAATTTTTTTTAAGTTTAGAAGATGAGTATTTGGGTTTCAATTTTTTTCATCAATCCCGAATGGTTTGTTAAACTTTTTGCAATTGGAAAATTCTATAGGAAAAACTTCTTACCAATGTTCTTAGATTATAAACTTCCTTGCTTGTTGATAAGTATAAGAGGATGAATTGATTGATTTTGTTACTTATGCATATCAATAGAAAGAAAAAAAGGCAAATGTCTGGGTTTAGTAGCAGGAAAAAAAAAAAAAAAGTAGTCATGGAAATGCTAGTGGGAAGAGGGGGGGGGGGGTGGGGGCAAAGACGCCTCTTTTTTTTTTTAAAAAAAAAATCAATTACAGATGTTATTTATAAAGGGAATGAGTGTAAAGATAACTTAACATTTTGAAATGGGTTTGAGAGGGTAGTTTAGGTAATAAATTTGAGTTTAAAGAGAGATTAATTCTTTAATAAAAAACAATATGGGTGAAGGGAATAAGTTTGGTGTAGAAAGATGTTAAATGAGTTTAAATAAAATTTCTCCTATATTATCCATCTTTGTTAAAACACGTAAAATCATACATCATCTAACTTTTGTGTTTTCCGATACCATAAAAGTTTCTCACAAATTTATCCTCACAAGAAGAGTCAATCACGGGATAAATTGTATTATAAGCTAGATTATTAATTATGATCTCTCACCTATGCTAAAAAGCTAATTTACTAATTAATTACTATATATTCCTAATTTTTTTCCTTGGCTGGGTCAATCTATGCAAGATTTGGAGAAAAGGGAGTGTTTTTTTTTTGAAAACTGGAGAAAAGGGGGTTTGTCTTCATCTTCCATATATATGTGAACCTTATCGGACCAAAACGACGTGGGATTATTTTAAAATGGAAGCCTAGAACCAGCTAGTTAGTGTGAGGGTTTGATTGAAGACATGGACATACCTCCTTCCCACCAACATTAATTAAAAAATTAACTAAACGCATACATTAATTTGTGATTAGCACTGGTGGATCACTTGAATTAGTTGTTAATACTAGCTAGGGGGTGGTGGGAAATGAGAGATTTTTTAATGTGCTGGGAACACGGTCCTATATACCGAGTGTCATAATACAATTGTTTTGAATGTATTTCAAGTTTTTTTTTTTTGTCGAGTTTTTTCACGTTTTCAACCGATCGCATTATTACACTTGGTGTACCAAGTTGTATTTATGACACACTGAAAAATTTCTCGTAGGAAAGGAGACATGAAACAGACCAATCAAAATCCAAAGACAAGCATAATACATGTGTTTGCCATTCTTGGTGAGTGGATTATCCTATGTAGAACTTGGTTGGAGCAAATTCCAGACATATTTTCTGCAGAGAAATGATGATACTAATTGATCCATGGAGTTTAAGAATACTTTTGAGCTTGATCTTGTAGATGGCTCTTCGATAAACATCAATTAAAGTGACACCAATCGTTATCTTGAAGAGTGTTCAAATACACATCAATATACATTATATAATTTAATACGACACAGACAATCTTGAAACTCATTGTGTAATTCGAATAATTCATTTTCTTCAAATTTTCTTCCTAAAAACATTAGTGCAAAAAAAAATTGCAAATTAATTATGTTGTGAGAATGGACATTTGCTTAGGTAACTCCTCATCTTTTTTATTTCGTTGATTTTTTTGTGCGTGATTTTTTACAAGGGGTTTGAGAAAATTGAGGATTTAGCGTATGAAACCACATTATCAAGGAGAATTTAAAAAAGCGGTGTGTGCTGTGTACATTGTAATAACTTTTAAGGAAAAATTAGGTTCTCATCCTTATTTTTCCTACTCCATTGATTAAAACTTTATTCATTTTCAATTTTTGATTAAGGTCCCTATATTTTAATAAACATCATTAATTATTTCAATGATAAAATATTTTTTATTTCTAAATATATTCATTTAATGTTAGAAACGTTACATTTGTTATATTTATATCCATGGATAAATTTTTTATCATATATTTTTATTTTTAGTTTGTATCCATTTTTAATTTGGAACTTTTTTTTATTTTTTATTTTCTTTAATTTTTAATTTTTAAATTTGTACCAATTTTCTTTTCAATTTTAATTTGTACCTCTATATTAATTCCTTTTTGTGCCCATTTTTTAAAAACTCTTATTTGTATTTGTACACATATTTTTTAATTTATTTGTACCCATTTTTAATTTTGCTAAATATACCCATGCTAATTATATGTATTTATTTTATGTTTTAAAATATATCAATAGTTATTTTTTAAAATATGTTACTATTTATGTGGGTACATTATTATTTTGCTATAATTTTTGTGAAGAACAATATTACTCTAAATTTCATTTTTAAGTATTTATTATATTTAAAAATATTATTTGAATTTGTTTAAATTTCATAATTTGTGGGACATTAAACGCATAAATGCATGAGTTAAATATCTTAAATGAGGCTAAGGACCTCGATCAATATATTTAAGCAAATAAGGTTTCAGTCTAACAATTAGGTTGATTAGGGATCGAAATCAAAATGACCCTAATTTTAATAATAACTGGTGGATAGATTAGGTGATCAGAGACTTCCTCTTAAATTAAAAATCTTATGTTTCCCGAACCATGACAAGTGGCGTAAAAGAAAAAAAGGTGAGGTCCTGGATTCGATACTTTGTAAGCTGTAAATCAACTTGATCCTGACCACAAGTAGGGTGGAATTCCTAACTAGCCTCCTCTAGACAAGAAAATAATAGATAACAGTGGTTCGCCACCAATTATTCCTCTTTGAAAAAAAAAAAAAAAAACAGATTTTCGAAAATGACATAGTTATAGGTTCATCCCTTAAAGCCCAATGGATCATTTTTATAAAATGGGCTCTATTTCTTAGGCCTATCGAGAATATTAGACTAGGGCGGTCAAACTGTGGAGCCGCGCGCAGCTGATAACTGCTCTTTCCCCCCAAACCCAAAACCCCTTTGTTTCCGATCCGCTCTGCAACAAACGGCTTGTGCTTCCAGCTTCGCAGCTACAGTTCGCTTATCAAGTTCTAGGGTTTTGAAGATTTCAAATTCCATGGCTACCCATGACGTAAGCCCTCCAAAACCCTTTAGCTACTACCTCAATTTCCGCATTTAGTTCGATTTTAGGGTTTAATTGTTCTAATTCTCAGTGATTAATTCGAACGCGTTTTTGATTCGTTGAAATACAGGATGATGACTTCGGTGGCGATTCTCCCAGTCCCAGGCGCGGTATGTCTAACTTTCTTGGCAACCAAACGGCGTGGCTCTGAATGTGTGATTGAATTTTGCTTATTGATTTCTGTATCTTTGTGTTTTATCAATCTAGGTAAAAAGAGAAGCTTTGGCGATGACGACTTAGAATTTGATCCTTTCGGCTCGAAACAGGTATTGCATTTTATTCCTGCCAGGCGTCTGCTTGAAATTGCTTCTCTGACTTATAAGTGCTTTTGCTGGAAGTGCTACTATGAGAAACACATCGAAATTTTTAATAAATCTAAGTGCATTTTCTGAAAAGCACTTCCTAGTGCTTCTTCGACTCAAAAGCACCTTTGGCTTGTTCCTTCAGAAGTTATTTTAGCTGTTTTAAAAGCACTTAGATCTGGGTATCTTTATTCTTTGGCCTACTGTCTAGGTTGGACCTATATGAAACAATGGTAAAGTAAAAAAATTTCTTGGATTCACTACAGTATTGGTGTACAACAGTGTGTTTTAGCAAATAGTTTAGGTGAAGAACCAAAGTATTGAAGAATGCAGAGATGATGTTTTGGAAGTTAGGTTCAATTTGTGGAGAAAGAACTTAAATTTTTTGGGTGAGAAAAAAGACGTAGTTGTAATTCAAGTATGTTGATGCACGTCAACAGAACAGTTATAGTTGGGACGTGATGTGACATTTATTGCCCACAGTCAACAAATTTTGTAAAAGAGTAGGATATATAATGTGTATCTAAATCAAATAGTTTTTATTAAATTATACTTGTCAAACGGAAGGATGCTCCTAAGAAGCTGCCTCTGATAAACATGCTTGCCCTCTACAGATTCTTTCTTATATGAGAGTTTTCTTTGTATGTTCCCCTTTCTTCAGTTTTCGTTCAATTGAAGGAAAATAAAATGATCTTTTACAATATAGGGTAACTCTAAAGTTGAAGAGACTGCTCCTGGTGGTGCAACAGCTATGATTTTGACTCTTCGTGAGAGGTATTATGAAGTAATGTGTTATGTTCTAGTGATCAAACTTCTATAACACTGGCAATACTTATGCATTGAATTTTCTTTAGGCCTGAAATTTTAATTTTTATTGTATTTGTTTTTGCAGTCTTCAAAACTGTAAAGATACTCTTGCAACATGCCAAGTACGCATTCCTAATTTAACTCTTTCCTTCTATATGTTCCTTCATTGTCTACAGTTAGGGAAATATCAATTCTTTGATAACCAATTCCATTTAATTTGTAGTCAAATAGGTAAAATATTTGATGCTTACAGTTGTGAGATAGATTGAATGAACATAGTTTCTTCACGAGCTTGAAAATTTCATGGCACTATGCATTCGCTACAGTCATACTTGTTAGATGGTTAACAATTACTTGGCTTGGCTACAGACAGAACTTGAAGCTGCAAAATCTGAGATTCAAAAGTGGCATTCTTCATTTCAGAATGAACCCTGCTTAGCTTCTGGAACTTCTCCTGGTTAGTCCCATACTAGCCTCAGGGCATTCTACTGCTTTGCCTGTCCTTGTTTTGTTATGTCAAGAGTTAGATTATATGTTTTTGACAATAAACTTATCGTATGATCATTTTATATGCATTATCTGAATGTATTAACAAATATGGTTTCAACCTATCTTGTAGATCCTAAACTGGTCATCAATTATCTTCAGTCCCTGAAAAACTCCGAGGAGTCATTGAAAGAACAGGTTAGTGTTAAATGTTTCTTTTCATAAGTCATCGGTAATCTTGAGCTTTTTGTTCACGGGTTGTTCTTATTATCAGTTAGAGAAAGCAAAGAAAAAGGAAGCTGCGTTCATTGTCACATTTGCAAAACGGGAGCAGGAGATAGCAGAGCTCAAGGTAATATCTATCTTTTGCATGTGATGTATCATGTACCTCTCTCATGTCAGAATGTAAGAGCATGATAGCATATTTGCAATTTTTTTAAATATCTTTTGCATGTGATGTATCATGTACCTCTGTCATGTCAGAATGTAAGAGCATGATAGCATATTTGCTATTTTTGTAGGATGATTTTATTTGTAAAAAGTAAAGAGAAATTAATTCATGCGCCCTTCTCATGTCAGAATATAAGAGCTTGATAGTATATTCGCTTTTTTAGTAGGAAGATTTTATTTGTAAAAAGAGTAAGATTAATTCTCTGTGACCGTAAAGACCTAACTTATTTAAAATGCAGTCTGCAGTCCGGGAGCTTAAAGCTCAACTCAAGCCACCATCAATGCAGGTAGTTTAAAATCCTTTAGTTTTATATGATTCTAAAATTGCCTACCTTGAGCTTTTGAAATTTCAGACCAGTGGTAAAGTTATTAATTTTTGGTTTGGTTGTAAATTCTCTTTATGATTCATTTCAACCTGGTCTGCAATTCTTTGTGCTGATTAATTGTACAGGCAAGAAGATTGCTACTCGATCCAGCAATTCATGAGGAGTTTACTCGTCTAAAGGTTAATCTTTTGAAGCTGCTGATCTGCATTTCTTTTTTAAGCTTTTACTATATTTGTTCATTATAGCACACACATCCCATTTTTTCCATGTATACACAAAGAAATTACATTATAAGTCCGAGAAATAGATACTGAAGGGAGGAATCCTTGTGAGAAGAAAACAAAAAAGGTTGGGAAAAAAATTTATATGCCACTTCAGGTGGATAGCTTTTCTTTATGTTCTTTTTCGTGAATCGGCTTTACCTGCTTGTATCGATTAAAGGAAAAATTTATATATTATATGAAGGCAATTGTGAGACTCTGCAAGTATTTTCTTTTCCTAGGTTTTCCTTATATTTATAAATAACTTATCTATGTGTTTTCCTTTGGTGCTTTAATGTTAGACTTTGGTTGAGGAGAAGGAAAAAAAGGTTAAGGAGTTGAAGGAAGATATCGAAGCTCTTTCATTTACTGCGGCAAGTAAGATGGGGAAGCAGTTAATGGCTAAATGTCGGACACTCCAAGAGGAAAATGAGGAGATTGGCAATGAAGCTTCTGAGGGAAAGGTGCTGCTGTTGCACTTACAATATATTAGATGTTATTAAATGCTTTCCATGTTGTGCTACTTCTATCCACAGATATAATTAATATCTTTTGTTTTTCCTGGCAATTTTGTTTTTTTGTTCAATTTTCCTGGGGTTGAGACATTAATAGAGGATTTTGCATGGCTACATGCACATTTTATCAACTCTTCACATTTTCAATATGTTGAAATGGGATTAGGTTAGACGGTGAATGCTATCTACAATCATTGGATCATTCAAATTCTTTTGAGCACCCGAGTCCCTTTGAATAAATAATACTGATTTTGGCACAAAAGTATGTTGTTAGAACCAAAGCGAACATGGACATCTTTGATGCCTTATTATGTTGTGCTTATGAATAAACTTATCTCCTTTGGTTTTTAAACAAATGTACCTTATTCTCTTGGGATGGTCATCTGTTTGTTTATATTATACACCAACGATCTGGTTAACATGATTTTGGTATTGTTGGTGTGCAGATGCATGAATTATCTATGAAACTTGCGTTGCAAAAATCCCAAAATGCAGAACTCAGAAGTCAATTTGAAGGTCAGTGTTAAACCAATCAAAATTTTAGTTATCAACTTATCAGTATCGCTCAGATTTGTAGAATGTGTGTGCTAAATGGTACATCCAATGCCCTTGCACCCGTTGTATATCTGGGAACCATACTGCGTGACTGCGTATGTCACTATTAATTGTTCAATTGAGCATCTCTTTCCCCAAAGCTGTTATTTAAACTGTTGTTTTTTAATGTCAATGATAATTTCTTTATGCATTGTACTAAAAAAAATGTTATTACATCCTGGATTTTATATTGTCAGGTCATTCCCCATTCATTCTTTTTGTGTTTCTACGTACAGGGTTGCACCAACATATGGAGGGGCTCACAAATGATGTTGAAAGATCAAATGAAATGGTTTTCTTTCTTCTCTCGACTTTTTTCGTTTTTTGGTTTACAGAGATCGTACATCATCCTAGCTTCATAGATGCACAATTTAAACTTTTCCGTTTTGTTTCGATAATGCACCAAATTTGCTGCCATTTTATCGATCACAGTTTAAATTAAGACCACTCGTATGGATTACATCTAATCCTTTAGTTGATTACCCTTCCCTTCCTATATTATTCAGTGTAGTTTGATATTACGAGTCCTATTATTTGTTCCTCAATTCTGTGATCTTAGAGTAGTTGTCAAATTTGCAACCCTCAGTTATCCATCCATTTCGGGGGCTAGGAAGACTCACAGAGGCATTCTAGCCTCCCCCTGGCCACAAGTCTGACTTCCACACCAGCAGCGGGTTTCGAACCCGAGACCTCTAGTTTTTAGTTTTAAGAAAGCCTCGTAATCTGTCCTTTATCTAACGAATTTGGTACTTAATGAGAGTCAGAATTTAAAGCGTCTTCCATTGCAGGTGCGTATCACGCAAGAGCAGCTAGAGGAGAAAGATCGTGAAATCAAACGGTTAAAGCAGGAGCTGGAGCAGAAGAGCTTGATAGGGAAGGAGAAAGCAGATCCACCTTCTGACGCTAAGAAAGCTAGCGACGATGATGAGATGGTACCTGGAGAAGTCGACAGCTGAAGTAAGAAGAAGAAAATTGTAGGACACAATCATCGTTTATAATCCTCATTTTGTATGTACATTAACGTTCGAGTTTATTTTTCGCTCAGAACATTTTTGTTATGTAAAAGTAACTAGTGAAACTTAGGCCGCCGTAATCGAGGTTAAAGTTCTTAACGCTTAACGTGCAGTTGCATGGTTCCATATCATTCATTCATACAAAACGGAATCGTTCTTGTTTTGTTACTTAAATTGAATTCCTGCATGCCACCCCTCTCTATTGCGGGAGAATGACTCACATGAAACGATGGCGTCAAGTTAGGTTATTGCCCAAATTTATCATGCCTCGTCATGAAAAACATTAAAATGGTTTAATCTACTGCTACATTGGCTTCTTGTTTTTAGCATGGAACGATACTTTTACGATAACAAGTCTTCTCACGTGTGACGATATTTTAGCAAAATACGTGAATATATATGAATAACAAGAACGCATGTCGTCCTTAATATTTTCACATATTGACCAACCAACTTTAATACCACATAAAAAAATTTGAACTGTCATTGTAAAATTAATTCGCAATATAAACATAAACATGCGGAACTACCATCATAAAATTTAAGAGCGATAGGCTATTGGCCGTGGGAGGTTGAGTAATCCGGAAAGCTCATGGCTCATGCATGCAGACAGCGAAGCTCCTGGGATGCCAAGTGTAGGCTGAGGTGTGTGTGCGTGGCACTGAGTGCGTTCGCCATGCACGGAAGCGGTCGAGAATTTGAGAGCGATGTCACTTCCCTCTGTCTAATCTTCATCCCAGCTAGCAGACAATAGACACCTACTTGCCTACTTAATTAGTTGGGATATTTTGGATGCGATCCCTAATTATCAATATTTTTTTACTGAAATCTTGTTGGTTTTCAATTTTTAATCCAAGTTCCTGAAATTAATGTGATAATGTATTTCTATATAGGTTACTATATTTTTTAAATTAAAAATTGAAATTTATAGCTGTTTGTATTAATGAGATTTTAAATTAAAAAATACCCATAACTTGTGGATTAAACTTATTAAAATATAAATTATACTCTCCAATATATTGTGTGTGTATGTGTGTGTGTGTGTGTGTGTGTGTATATATATATATATATATGTATGTATGTATGTATATAAACATGGGCACATTCATCAAAATTAACAAAAAAATTATTGTACCAAAATATGGGTACATTCTTCAAAACCACACAAAAAATAATAGATATTAGACTTAATAACATTAGTAAACTTCTTTGATTAAATTTGACATGGATACATTCTCAAATCAAGAAAAAGAATGTACCCATATAAGTTTAAAAATGGATTAGAAAAAATTGATTAGATTTTATATATATAAAAAAGTTATATTTTACCAGTACAAATTGGTATATTTAAGAATGAGTACATTTTAAGATTTAAAAATTGAAAAATTACATGAATGAGCACATATAAGATTAAAAAATTGGAAACCTTTTTATAAAAAATTAAGGGGTATAAACTTATTCTAATTTTTTTTTTTTTTTTTGAAAATGTTTTGAATTGAAAATTAGTTAGGAGTTTAATAAAGGTGTGAGTATTAAAATCCTATATCAATTATTAATTTTTATTTTAAAAATGATGTAACTAACATGTAAATTCATTATTGCATTAATGCTAAGGATCTTGATCAAAATCTGAAAACTAAAAAGGTTTCAATAAAAAACATTATTAACTAAGGATCGGATACTAATTTTTCCTAATTAGTTTGTTCTTTCTTGTGTTGAAGTGTGGTAGTTCATCATCTGGATCCAACCTTTTGGTTTGATTAAGATCCAGATTATTTGTTGTTCCCCTCTCTTTATTTTCTAAAGAAAATTAAGCAAGATCCCATAACATTGAAACTTTAATTTGGAGGAATCATCTGGCCGGAAATGGCCGGAGTAAATTAGAAGCTGAGGGATTGAACATATAGCTAGAAAAGTGAGATAGACCCAGAAAATGCTAAAAAGAAGGAACAACAAACAATGGTAATCTTAAGGAGATTAAATTTGTAAACACAATTTTAAAAATTAAAAGACACGAAAGTTGATGATTGATTTATTACTTAAAACGTTAATAACGTGCTGCTTATTTCTAATATTATATCATTAAATTACTTTATATCACAACCCTATCCCATGCCACTACTCTCTTCATGGTTACGCTTTACCACTTACAAGGGTTCATAACTTGTTCTATATTTTTGTTGCATCCCATCCCACTCCTGTATCTTTTTCTTTTACCAAAATTACCTCTTACTATTCATTACGTTTTTATTATTTCTTACCAACCTAATAAAAATGATAAATGACAAGTGTCTCATCTTGGGAGAACTTCTATTTTTTCAGCTTCTTATACATACATACATACATACATACATACATACATATATATATATTATTTCTGACCCTCGCATTAAATATATCAAAAAAAAAAAAAACGGATAAGTTAAACAAGAGCATGAATTCATTGTAGCCATTTCATATTAACCCTAACTAAAATAACTCACTAAACAAATTACATTAACATTCACCAAAAAAAAAAAAAAAAAAAAAAAATATACAAATTACATTGACGAAGCTTTCTTTATTTCCTTTTATTTTTGGCTGGAAACCTAACCCTAATTATGTAGTAGTACTAATGATTCATCATTGTACATTTTCATCACTCATTCTTTGGCAAATCAGAAACTTTTTTTTTTATCTCTCTCTTGGTCTAAAGCAAATCACAAACCTTAACTAATTAAAAGTGTCTTCACACACACACACCAACCTCTTTACAAATCATCTCTATATAACCCCCCACTCCCTACTACCGAGTTCTACTCACCAAGCTACCACAATCTCTCTCACTCGTTATCTCTACGCTAGGTTTCCATGGCTCCAAGCCTAACAAAGAATGCCCTAGACCTAAAGGGCCTTGCAGTGGATGACACGACGTCACAACTCCCAATAACTCTCAATGGATCCAACCTTCTCGCTAATGGCCACCCAATCCTCACTGAAGTCCCTCTCAGCGTCACAGCAACCCTGTCACCTTATAACAAGACCACGCCCTCTGGCTGCTTCCTGGGATTCGACGCGGACGAGCCCAAGAGCCGCCACGTGGTCCACATCGGAAAACTCATCGGCATCAGGTTCATGAGCATATTCCGGTTCAAGGTCTGGTGGTCCACCCATTGGACTGGAACCACGGGAAACGACGTGGAGCACGAGACCCAGATGATGCTCTTGGACAAAAACGACTCCGGCGACCCTACGTTGTGATTCTTCCACTCCTGGAAGGACCCTTCAGAGCCTCTCTCCAACCGAGTCGTGCAAACGACGACTACGTGGACATGTGCGTGGAAAGCGGCTCGATACGTGTCAGCGGGTCGAGCTTCAGAAGCTGCTTCTACATGCACGTCGGCGATGACCCGTTTAGTTTGGTCAACGAGTCAATGAAGGTGGTGAGGGCCCACTTGGGGACGTTCAAGCTCCTAGAGGAGAAAAATGTACCAAAAATAGTGGACAAGCTTGGGTGGTGTACATGGGATGCATTCTATCTTATGGTGCACCCTAGAGGGGTGTGGGAAGGTGTGAAGGGCCTAGTGGAAGGTGGGTGCCCTCCAGCACTCGTCCTCATCGACGACGGATGGCAATCGATCTGCCGCGATGAGGACCCGGTGAAGGGGCAAGAAAGCATGACCAGGATATCAGCCGGGGAACAAATGCCAGGCAGGCTGATTAGTTTTCAAGAGAATTATAAATTTAAGGACTATGAGGGTGCGTCTAGCAAGGGCATGGGTGGCTTTATCAAGGATTTGAAGGAGGAGTTTGGGAGTGTGGAGCATGTGTATGTGTGGCATGCGCTTTGTGGATATTGGGGTGGGATTAGGCCCGGGACTAATAGTCCAGTGATGCCTGAAGAGTGCAGGGTGATTAATCCTAAGTTGTCTCCGGGGTTGGAGAGGGCAATGGAGGACATGGCGGTGGACAAAATTGTGAGGAATGGAGTAGGGTTGGTTCTGCCGGAGGTGGCGCACAAGTTGTATGAGGGGATGCACTCTTATCTTCAGTCGGCGGGGATCGATGGTGTTAAGGTTGATGTCATACACGTAAGTTTGTTCTCGAAATTAAGCTCTTTTTATCCTTTTTCACTTTTGAAAAACGTCACAAATTTTTTTGCTTACATGGTACGAGTTTGGACACATGTGCACCGTTTTGAACTTTTCATTACTAAACTGTAATATTATGTAGCTCTATAATATATTTTATTGGTTCAAATTATGGAATTGTTACTTGTACTTGAACGTTAATTATTTGGATAAGCGTGAATGTCGTAATGGTCTATGTATGAGGGTTTGAAACACTGTTATATGACATCTTTGTTCGTAGAGATCATTAACCTAATTCACATTATCATTACTATTAATCATTTTTGTTGACTAAAATTTTGTCGGGCATGTAGTTTTTTCTACTAGTGTGTTTTATCATTCGCAAAACAAAAGAAACAAAAAGAATAAGCTATCATTGTCATATTTCAAAGGTGAGGTTGCATATTAAATCGAGAGATATACTGTTTGATTTAATTTCTATTTCGTGCCATGGTGCAGTTGCTTGAGATGTTATGCGAGGACTTTGGGGGTCGGGTTGAGCTGGCGAAAGCCTATTACAAGGCACTGACTGCTTCTATGAGGAAGCATTTCAATGGCAATGGGGTGATTGCTAGCATGCAGCACTGCAATGACTTTATGTACCTCGGAACCGAGGCCATAGCCCTTGGACGTGTTGGTACGTAGACTATATATTCCGAGCAAGTATTTTGCATTCGAATTTCTTTTTTGCAATTTACATTACGAACTTCTAAGCTATTAATTTCCACCATAAACTTTTCTTTGAGCCAATTATCCGTTCGAACTTTTACAAGTAGCCAATTATCTCCAAACTGTCAAATTTGCAAACTTCTCATCAATTCTTCCATCTATATATTTGTCACATGAGCCACTTAAGAGAATAAAAACGTGATTTTGCTGCTATCTGATAAGTCCTTGTGATAGAGAGGTAGATAGATCAGATCTGCACACGAGGGATAATTTGGTTTGTAGGAGTGTGTTTTAGTGAGGCTAGGAAGTAGGATTTACTCTCGACTGGAGAAGTGAAATCATGTGGACAAAATTTTGGATGTAATGTTGATTAACGGAACGGTATGGAGATAATTGCCTATTTATCAGTTCATAGAATAATGGCTGGACAAAAGGTTCTTAGTAGAAACTGACAGGGTGATTGATACAGGTTCAGGGAACAATTTGTAGAAAACCTCAATATGTTTTTTATTTGAAGAATTTGCATTCTCTTATCAGTTATTTGCAGGTCTAACCAATTTCTTCGCATTGATACAAATGTCATAGGAGATGATTTTTGGTCTGAGACGACGGCGGAAGCAGATGGAACATATTGGCTGCAAGGGTGTCACACGGTGCACTGCGCCTACAATAGCCTTTGGATGGGCAACATCATACAGCCAGATTGGGACATGTTTCAGTCTACTCACCCTTGTGCTGAATTCCATGCTGCGTCAAGAGCTATATCCGGAGGACCAATCTACGTTAGTGACTCTGTCGGAAAGCACAACTTCAAGCTTCTTAAGAGCCTGGTTCTGCCTGATGGGTCCGTACTGCGATGCCAACACTATGCCCTTCCTGCTAGGGATTGCCTATTTGAAGACCCTTTGCATGATGGGAAAACAATGCTCAAAATATGGAACCTCAACAAAGTAAGACACTCTTTTAACAGCACGGGATGTGATTTTGGCACTCTTTTTCTCGCTCTACATAGTGTTTGTTTATTGTTTGCATTTGGAACATAAATACAAGAGAGAAGTTAGCGTTGGTCATACGAGAAAAATTGAGTGCATAAATTATTTCTCTAACAGTGAAAACTAGCGTCGGTTATCAAGTACCTGCTTAACTCCATTACAACTGTTAATGGTAGTAAGTTTCATGTACATGTGTGACTTAAACTGTTATTGGTTGTGAGTCTCGTGAATGGGCTCCAACCCCCTACCAACGTGATGACCACTGATGCCAGCTTTTCTCCTTTCAAAGTGTAGTAAAGTTTGGTAAGCTAGATAGCAATAACCCTAAATATTGCTTGAACTGTAAGATAGGGTTTAAAAAGATGCCCTTTTTAGTTTTGGTGCTAACTCAACGTTTTTCGACATGTACTTGCACCAGTGTACTGGAGTTTTGGGTGCTTTTAATTGTCAAGGAGGAGGATGGTGCTCGAAATCCAGGCGGAACAAAATCGCCCCCGACTGCTCAAAGTCTGTGACCTGTTTTGCTAGTCCAAAAGACGTGGAATGGAATCAAGGGAAGAACCCCATTTCAGTACAAGGAGTGACCATATTTGCTGTGTACACGTTCCAGCAGAACAAGCTGAAGTTCTTGAAGCCATCAGAGAAGGTAGAGATTCCACTTGAGCCTTTTAGTTTTGAGCTCCTCACTGTTTCTCCGGTGAGGGTCTTGCGGAAGAAACTGATCCAATTTGCTCCGATTGGATTGGTCAACATGCTCAACACTGGCGGTGCAATTGATTCAGTAGAAGCTGAGGAGCATGAGGGGAACCCTAGTTTGGTGAGAATTGGAGTGAAGGGTTGTGGAGAAATGAGAATGTTTGCTTCAGAAAGGCCAACTGCTTGTGAGATCGATGGAGATGGAGTGAAGTTTGATTATTTTGATAAGATGGTCAGAGTCCAAGTGCCATGGCTTACTTCTTCAAGATCAGTTCTAGTTGACTACTTGTTTTGATCAAATGTAAAGAATTTGATCCTTGTTGCTAGCAATTTCAATCTGTAATTCAATCGTGTTTTTTATTTCAGCAAACAGTGTGATATGATATGCTAGATTGGTAAGTGATCATGAACTTTGTGGATTTTATACAAGAAGTGTGTTTTAAATTAATAATTTGTTATGGAAAATGCAACGAAGACTATGTTTTTAAATTATATTTTAAGAATTATATGATATAGACTATGATTGAATTCTTTCTTTAATATTTTAAATAAGGAATCAACCTATCTACGTAGTGTTTAAAATATTCACGAAATTATCGATAATCAAGGATCGATATGAAAAGGGAGTGAAATATAAATTTCACTATATATCGGCGACATATAGGAAAATTATTAAATACCGACAACATTTATCAATTCACTACATAAATTTTGTCAGAATCTATTGCATATTTCGAATTTTGGATTTTTTTTTTTTTTTTTGAGAAATTTTTCTCTAATTTTGACTAAAACTGAATGAGTTGATCCCTACTCCATCACAAATTTCGATAATTTCCTTTGAAGATAATCGCTATTAATATTGATATTTTCATAAATTTGCATATTGATATTTTTGTCTATATCATAACTTTTTCAGAATTTTGAATCATAACTTGCCAACATGATCCTCTCCGAATCTTTTGGTGAGGATTCTGGAGATTTGTAAATTATGTCCGTTCATCGTACTTCATACGGTCAGTTTTTGTCAGGTATTGTTTGTATTTAATTTTAAATAAAAATATTTAAAATGATTTCTAATCGCACGATATACAATGAACGAATATGATTTACGTATCTTTAGAATTCTCACAAAGAGAATCCGGATTCCATAACTTGTTTCACAATTCTCTTAGTTTTACAAAAAGTAATAAATAAACGAAAAAAATATCAAACCTTACTATTGAGCTTAGCTAAAAGAAATTTCGTTTGGGCTTTACCCACCCGCAATCCAACCCAAAAGAGAAAGGAAACATATCAAGAACAGTGGAGGAATCAGCCTCTGCGGCTCCGCTTCAAACGCCGGTCATTCCTCCGTAGGCATCTCCGTCGGGCCACTAAGCACTACACAATCAGCTGTTTGGATTCTCAGAAAACATGACGGATAGCACCGGAAAATCTCGGAGAAAATTCCTAGCACGATGAAGACGACGGAGTTCATGGATAAGCAGATCATGGAACTCTCTCGGTCCCACTCCGAGGATTTCTCTCAACTTTCGTACCCTCAACAATTCGATAACGACGGCAAGGACGACTCCGACTCCGACTCCGTTTCCAGCTTTCATTTCCGCCCCGCACGACGTGTCGCCTCGCAGGAGCCGCGCATTACCGCTCTCGAGGTTTGTGCATTTCAAATTTCAGCTAAAGCTTTAACCTTCTGTGTTTGGTAAATTTGGGAAGTTGAATTCTAACTGTAATTAGGGTTTTGTATGGAGTTTATATTCAATTTTGTGTTATTAAATCGAATTAAATTCGGTTTAATGTAAATTGATCTGGTAATTTTAAGTTACCAAAGAAAAAAAATTGGAAATTTGAACTGATATGCTGTTGAATTTTGTAAGTTATATGTTTCGATTCGTGTTCGTGATTGTTGAAGAGTTTCAAGTGATTGCTTGCTTCTGTTATGAATCACAGAGTGGCAGTTCTATGGACTACCTTAACCTTTCCAAACCTGGAAGCAAGTATGCTGTCAGGGCTTGCGAGGATTCGCCATTGATTTCGGTGATTGAGGGAAAGATGAACCAGCATTTTGGCAGTCTATTGCACGCGGTTGAGGGTCTCAGTGCACGAATTTCCCAGCTGGAGACTCGATTACGCCGGCTGGAGAATTCTGTTGACGACTTCAAGGATTCTACTGAAATCAACCATGGGAAGGCTGATGGGAAACTGAGGCAGCTAGAGAATATGCTAAAAGAGGTATTGTGAAATTATTGGTTTTTTCGTTTAACCGGTCAATGTATGTTGCATTGTTCTATGAGTAAAACTTAAGAGGATGGATAACTTGGGTGGTACAAATTAGGTCCTAGATGCACAGAATTGATATTGATGGCAAATTTATTCAGTCGAAGTTTTTATTTAGCAGGTTCATAGCCAGATAGGTTTTCATGGCAATTATCTGATTTAAATATGCTTGTGAGCTCGACTTTTGTAACACGAGGCACAATGTACTTGCCAACAGCTTCTTGACATGGTTCGTGTTGCTTGTAAATAAACTGTAGGTTGACACTGGTATGCAGAATTTGAGAGATAAACAAGAGATAGCAGAGGCTCGGTTGGAGCTTGCAAAGCTTCAAATGTTAAAGGGTCAGCAGCAATCGGAAAACCAAGCGAGCAATGTGCAAAAAGTTTCATCTCCAGGAGTACGATCATCCGCTCCTCAGCAAAGCTACCAACTGCATTCAGCTCAGGCCCCCACCCTACGAGTTCCTTCTCTTCCTACTAATGATCCCGGAACTCCACCTCATCAGAATTTTCCTCCAGCACCTACAGCACAGGTCCAGGTCCCCACGCAGTCACCTCAGAGTCAAATCCCATCTATTCAACATGCAGATTCTAACTACTCACCACCTGTGCCAAATCCGCAGCCCACACCTGAGATGTACTACAGCCCTCAAGTACAGCATTCGCAACCGCCACCCACTGCACCGTATCAACTTTTTCCATCAGCACCACAACCATCACTAACCTCACAATCGCAGCAGCTGCCTCAACAGCACCCACCCTTCAATGCTGCTGATCCCCAAGCCCAGTTTTCGTTGGTTCATAATCCTGGAGAAACCTCCATGCCATCTCAAAGATATCCTCCAAGCTTCCACAACACCTCTAATGCACCTGGCTTGGCTCTCCCACCCCAACAACAGCAGTATGCAGGTTCCATTCAATATACGCATGATCAAACCGCAAGCAATCACTACCTGGAGTTCCCCCCTGGGCATGTGCAACCAGTTCAAAATTCACGTTTTGATGATTTTCGTTCCCACGTTGGATCTTCATCTCACGACAGCGGTTCAAACATGAAACATTCGCAAGTCATGCCAGCCTCTTTAGACCGTTCTGGTGGAAGCAGCTTTTCGAAACTGCCAACTGCCAAGGTATTGCCACACGCAATACCCATGGCTGCGAGCGTGGATAAGGAATCGAGTTCCAGTGGGACTGGAAACAGAATACCGATTGATAATGTCATTGATAAGGTTGTCGCGATGGGATTCCGGAGGGACATGGTCCGAGCAACAGTGAGGAAAATGACCGAGAATGGGCAGTCGGTGGACGTTAATGTTGTGCTGGATAAGCTGATGAACAATGGAGAACAGCCTCAAAGTGGTGGATCTGGCCGGTAAGAAATGCGCTTGCTTCTAATACTTTGCTTGATTATGATTTACGAGTGTGATATTCAGCTATATGCTTAGTTTTTCTATGTGCTTCCGCATCCATGTATAATTACCACCATTTGTTTCTGAATGTAAATATGAAATGACTGGTGACATTGAAATTTGTTGTGTGTTGTATTTGTGAATGTAAATTTCACCAAACGTTTGCTTGGATGTTACTTGCATGAAGGTTTATGTCGTGATCGAGTGACAAAATATTAGAATGTGAGTATCCAACTCAAAATCAACCGACAGTTCTCCCGAAACCTCGTCGGTTTGCTAAGGACACGCATGTAGCCTATAACTTAGGGTGGGCTAGGTGTAGCTTGGCATTGAAAGGAGTGACAGCTGGGCTTTTTTCATTCACAAAGCTGTGCAGACTCTAGGGGCGTGCTAGACTGGTTGCTGGTGATAGAGATTCCCTCGCCGTTTCATTTTACTTTGACCATCCCTAGTTAAAGACGGGAAAGTGATATTCTTGATTTTTTTTTTTTAATTTATTTGATCTGACGGTCAGAATTAAAAGTGGTATATGTGAAGTAAAAAAAAAAGTGTAGATAGCACTGCTCGAAGAAGAAAAAGAAAAACTTACCTATCACATGTATATGCGAAAAATCCTGCTTTCTCTTATCACGTAACTTTTGACGGAATTAATTAAGATGTCATTGTCGTTACACTTTTACTTTTGACCATCCATTTTTACAACTTGCTCTTATTAAATAGAAAAAATCAAGGGTAGTGTTATCCATGCATATAATTTTTACTTCTCATACACTCTTCTTAATTTTCGCTGTCGGATGGAATGAATTACAGAAGATCCACGGCAAAAAAATAACAAGATGCGTGAGGTAAAAATGAGTGTGAATAACACCCTCTCCCTCTCTTTTCACTTAAGCCAGTCCTTGCCGTTACAATTCTACCTCTGACCATCCATTTTCTTACAGGTTCATGTAGTTCCTCTCTCTTATCTAGTGAGTTGTGTGATAAGAAAGACTAAAAGAGAGGTTAGATAAACCCAGGTTCATGTAACCCATCTCTTATTTTCTTACAGGTTCATGTAGTTCCTCTCTCTTATCTAGTGAATTGTGTGATAAGAAAGACTAAAAGAGTGGTTAGATAAACCCAGGTTCATGGAACCCGTCTCTTATCACAGGAGCTATGTGATAAGAGAAACTTATTCGAGTTTTATGAAACCTTGCATGTAATTCTTTCTTCTTATCAAAAATAAAAGTCTCGATTGGTTTAACATATTTATTCTTAAGCACAAATAGTCCTCACTGAAACCATTTTTTTTTTCTGTCATGTATCTTAAACTCTTAATCATTGATGCACATTCCTCGACCTATCTTGAAGAAGGACCATGTCCTTAATTGCTAGAAAATGGAGAGGTTTTCAAATTTTCATGGCTAGAAAAATAGGACCACAATTTGGTATAGGGAGGAAAAAAGATAGTGACCAGAGACTTGATTGCAAAGAGGGTGAGTCTGTTCATGTGGACTAGGAAGGAAGGAGGGTTTTGTTTTCAATCTTTCATTCCATTTGGGAGGAGGAGGAGGAGATTTTTTTGTTAGATTATATTAGATTACAATGACTGAGCTCTCAGTAACATAAATAGTAATGGTCCCAAGACTAATAGGCACAAAATAGTCTTCCTTATTTATTTATATTTTTAATTGATGGCGCAGTCACGACAGTTCACCATTTTGGAGGTCAGAAAAAATTCACAGAAGCATTTTAGCCTCTGTTTGGTCATCATCGTGTGATTCACCAGTACCAAAAACAAAACTCGAGACGAATTGTGTAAAATATGAGTTTGAAATTTGCTCCAATCACTGAACCACCTCTTGATTGTGCTGATTTTGTGGACCCTTTAAAATAAGCTAATAAGTGAGAGAGAGGTCCATTCCCTCTTGTACTCCAGGAATATATGTGACTCATCCCCTTCCATCTATATTTTGTCCAAAACCAACAAATGAAATTTGTTTCATCTACCACCACCACCCTTGTAGTTATAACGCCTTATATCTTCTTTTTAAGGTATTAATATGGAAGTTTTGGGATTGAAGGACTCTAAGGTAAAAAATTGGATTGGTTGTGTAACCTATAAATGTATTTTAATAGGGTTGTCTTGTCACATCATTACAGATAAAAATAAGGTGATACATTATAAATTTAGGGTATCCATAAATGAATTTATGTGATATAACATGAGTTGATCGATAATGTCACATAACAGTATGACAATCACACTAAAAACTGCATTTGTTGTGACCAACAAATCTTTATTGCAAATTGCACAAACATATCTAGACTCGTGTTCTAGTCAACAAAAGCTCGTGAGACATATCTTTGGACTTTTGCTTCAACAAAGACAAGTTGTAATCAACAAAATTCTTACCCTAAATCGTTTAAGGGTCTTGAACTGCTGAAGATATATGCATGCAACAAATTCTCACTCGCGCAACACCTAATGAGTTTTGATGAAATTTTTAACCGAGATTAAAAGATGTGATGCATTCACACTAAAGGTGAAGTGTATGCGGTGAATTAGCAACATTTTTTATTCAATTTTTTTACGCCATTTCCCGAAGGTTGGTCAACCAATTTTCAGGCCAGTTCGTGTCATTTTCTTGCATAATTTTGCTAATTCTTGCATTCCAATTATTAAATTATTCTCTGGCAGTGAAAATACTTAAAACTAATCAACTTTATTCAATATCTCTCTCATGTAGTAAGTAAGACTAAAATACTCTTAACAAAATTGTTTGATTTCAATTCATTCTCATTAATAGATTTTTAAAAAGTTTTCTTCGTGTTCAAATTATCGATTCTTAGTACGTAAGCATGACATAAGTTAGCCATGTAATTTTATTTTCTAGATACTTTCAATTGACAAACAAACAGTTAAAACGTTCTTATAATCTGTGAGAAGTGTTATTGTCACTTCAAAAATCTCATTCTACACTCCTCACAAGTGTTTTTTTTTTTCCAAATATAGAAAGTTTGGAGTGTAGAATGAGATTTTTGGAGTGCTAATAACAATTCCCTAATCTGTTATTGAACACATTCTACGCAGTTTTTATATATTTGTTTAATTAGGTTATTGACAAAATTCGTTATAATCCGTTACACACATACGTCAACATCGGCACACTAATATATTGTTGAATTTGAATACGTTTTGTAAATTAGTTATCAACAAACAAATGGTTAAAAATCGTGATAACTTGTTAAACAAATAAATCAGAATCCACCCGTAATTAATTTTCGTTAGATTTAGAACACATCATTTAACTCAAATAATCCGAAAACATAATACGACTAGAAGATAACTTTTTGGATCGCAAAGTACAATATTTTTGTAAGAGTTGTCTATTCCTTATATAATACAAGAGAGATTATATTCACACCCCAAATTACTTCTCTTATACTCTTTTATTTTTTAAATATTTTTCTATCAAATGTTAGTGGTGTGTAAAAAATATTAAAAAATTAAAAAAGTGTGGGAGAAGTAATTTAAAGAGTGTGAATATAATATCTCATAACACAATGATACGATACGATTATGCTATGTAATATAAGAACCCATGATTTGTAGATAAATTAATCCTTGTAAAACATTTTAAACATGGAAAATTCATTAGTCTATGCAAACATAAAGACCCACTTAAATAAAATCTAAAAAGATACAACAAAAGAAAGAAAACAAGAAAAAGATAATGCACCATTTCACTTTCAAACAGAATTACTAACAGAGAAATACAAGATTTTTTTCAAAAGTGAGACTTATGGACTTTCTGTATTCATTGTTTCGATACAATATTTTAAAACATCAGCAAAAGAATTAACATTAAATTAATGACAAAGAATTTATAAAAAGTCATACTTTTTAAGAAAGTCTCTGAGTTTATCTTAAACAAAAATTCCAAATGGACAAATTTTGGGTTTACCAAATTTCCTCCGTGTGGTCACCATCTCTTCCTTCTTCTGTAGCTCCCAGTCGAAATCTTAACTCAAAATTATTACAACTCAATAACACCTCAAACTAATTAACAAAGCAGAATCAAAAGCCAAATTCTCCAAATCAAATCAAATAAAAATTTGAAAAATCAGAAAATAAAAAAGAAGGGTAGATTAAAGCAAACAGAAAGATGGAGACAAAGCATGTAGTAACAGCAGCTTTTCCAATTCCTTATTAACCCCCCGTGCATCTATATATATAACTCCCATATATCTATCTATCTGTATATACATATATATATTCACACTCGCACACATGGAAGTATATGAATCTGGTCTTATTGGGTTTTCATTATCTTCGAGATCTAGCATCGGAAACCTGCGATTTTCCTGGAAAATCGTTCTGGGATTTCTCGTTTCCTGAGAAAAAATCCGGTCGGAAGTTTTTTCAACTCACCCATTTCATCAGTTTTTCAGTAAAAGTTTCAACCTTTGAGCCCGCGAGTTTAATTAAAGTTTTCAGAGTCCTTCCAAATCTTCAAAACCATCCTTCTTTGTTGATTCATCTCCTGTTTGATTTGAAGCGCAACCGTAGTAATCCGGGGTGTCTGAGCCAAAGCTTCAATCTTCACCGTCCATCTGGCGATCAACCTTGGTTTTCATCATCTGGGTTCTGCTGTAAATCCGCCCTCCAGTGTTTGAGTTCTTCACATTCACTCGCTCACTCACTCTGGTTTGTTTTTCGGTCCTCCAATTTCTTTGCTTTTGGAAAAATGGCCAACTTTCTGGGGATTTTCACAGTGAGGAACTTGCTTGGGCTGTCACTGGCTCTTAATCTGAGCTTGGTTCTGAGGGTGGTTTACGAGAGCGGGAAGGATGGGGGCCCACATGGGTTCTCTGTGGAGGAGCAGAGAGGGCCGTCAATGGCGGACATGGGTTTTGGGAAGGAAGCTCAGGCGACGCAGAGGACGCGTCTCTCCGCTTCTTCTTCTTGTGGCCAAGATGTCATGGAGAAAGTTATCAACCTCGACCAGTAAGTGCTTCAACACTTGTTTTGTTTTTTTCTTAATTTTTTATTTGTTTTTAATTATATCATCTAATCCTCCCGCTAAGATTTCTTCAGTTTAGAAGTACGAAGTGATATTTACCAACCTTTTTTTTTGTTCTTTTTTTTGTGCATAATTCTGTTTAATGATAAAATTTAGTAATAATTA